AGCCACGTCTTGTGCCAATTTGGGCCAGAGATACTGGCGACGCAGGGTCTCCCGAGTGCGCCATTCGCCGTCATGGCCCCCGAGCGGGTGGTCGTGCACCAGCCTCAGCAGCTGGGGTCGCACCTGGGCGGGAACAAATGCACCCCGGCTGGCCGGCTTCGGTTAGCTCTCATACCACCCCGTTCTGCACGCATAACCGGGTATACAAACCACTCCAGGGTCCCGGTAGGGCGCTCTTCTTCTCTTTTAGGGCCGCTGCCACCGCCGCCAGGTCCGGGTCCCGCTGCTGGGTCTGTCTCAGCTGCTCGTCGTCCAGGCCCGGGAAGGCGCAGCCGACGTCCCCTTGGATCCGCCAGGTCAGGGTGGGGTGGTTCATCGGGTCCCCCGCTCCTTCTGCAGGGGTCTCTGCGGCGCATACCGCACTCTCTCTCGGGGGAGGGGGTTTAGTTTCGGCGCGCTCCCGGGGGCCCGCCGTCTGTCGGCAAAGTCCCCCCGTGAAGCACTGGCAGGCTTCCTCCGCCCTCGTCTCGGCGCACACTGCAGGGCATAATGGTCGGTGCGTACCCGACATTACCTGCCGTACAAATACGGCCGGAACTGTTTACACGCGAAGATCACGGCATACAGTTCTTGACGGGTCACGCAATAGTTCAGCTCAGCCCCGCTCAGGGTCCGACTGGCGTATGCGATGACCCGCTCCGTCCCACCCTGCACCTGTGACAGCACCACGCCCAGCCCACTGCTGCAGGTATTGGTGTCCAAAATAAAATCAGTGGTGAAATCGGGGAAAGCCAGGGTGGGGGTGTGGGTGAGGTGGTCTTTGAGGGTGGTGAAGGCCGTCTGGCAAGCCTCCGTCCACTGATAGGGGTTGTTAGCGGATGTGAGTTGGGTGAGTTGGGTGAGGGGGCGTGCAATCTCGCTGAATCTCTTTACAAATCGGCGATAATAGGTGGCGAGCCCCAAGAATGACCTGATCTCCGTCAGGTTCCTTGGCCGTGGCCAATCCACTACGGCGCGTACCTTCTCCGGATCAGTGCACACCCCTGCCTCGCTGACTCGGTGTCCGAGGTACCCCACCTTGCACTGTGCAATGTAACACTTACGCGATTTGAGCTTGAGATGGGCTGCTCGCAGTCGCTGGAATACCTCCCGCAGCCTGGACCAGTGCTCAGACAGATCTACTGGACACTATCACGTCGTCCAGGTAAATTAGGCACTGTTCCCACTGCAAGCCCCGCATCACCAACTCCATCAACCGCTGGAACGTTGCGGGCGCTTTAGTCTGAACGGAAGCACCCGAAACTCAAACAGTCCCATCGGGGTGGTAAATGCGGTTTTTTGGCCGATCCTCCTCTGCCATCTCCACCTGCCAGTACCCGGACGCCAGATCGAGGGTGCAAAAATACCGCGCTCCTGCGAGGCTGTCAAAGGTGTCATCGATGCGTGGGATGGGGAAGGCATCGCCGAGGGTGACTGCGTTCAACTTTCGGTAATCAACACAGAATCGGGTCGACCCATCCTTTTTCGTCACTAGTACCACCGGGGCAGACCAGGGGCTCGCTGAGGGCTGGATTATGTTATCGCGGAGCATATCCATGACTGCCTCTTTAATCTGGGTCCGTTCAGGTGCAACCATTCGGTGTGCGGGGATTTTAATGGGTCAGGCGGCACCGGTGTCAATTTGGTGCTTCACAAGGTCTGTCCAACCCACGTCCGAGTCGTGTTCACTGAACACGTCGGCGTACTCCCGCAGTAACCCGCGCAGCTGATCGACCTCCCTCTTCGGTAAATTTGCCCAGGGTACGTGTAACGCGTCAAGCATCGGGACGGCCTCGGCTCGGGGAGTCGGGCCGACTCGCCAGGCTAGGTCCTGGTTGTCTTCAGGGCGACCGGGGTTTTCAGCCCAGAGTGCAAACACCGAGTCGTTAGAGTGGCGCGCGTGCAGGGGGTGTATGGTGGCTACCGGGGTGCGTCGTCATAGCATTGCCGGGGTACTGTGTGGGTTAAATACCCGAATAAACAGTCAGCCCCCGTCTGTGTTGACCAGCGTGGCTGATCCCACAACCCTGTACCGCGCCGGTGGAGGGTGTTGCCACTGGCACCAGCATCTGGGCGAGCGGTCCAATGGTGACGGCCGACACCAGGGTAGCGGCCACGGGTGTGAAGCGAGGGCGATTCGGCTCTTGTCCCAGGAACGGAATCCGCTCCCCGCTGCCTTCCACTGTGGTTTTCACACCTGATGATGACTGCTTGTGTTGCAGTCGAAACGTCGTGAGAATCTTATTGTTTTATATATTTTTTCTTTTATTGTTTCCCTTCTACGTAACTTTACCGAAAGAACCAAGAATATGCTTCAGATCGCTTTAAACTATTGTCATTGTAGTGCACAATTAATGTGGCACTGCACTTTGATGTTGTAGGAGAACTTTTATTTTAAAAAGTATATTTAATTAATTAGAACGTGTTGTCTATATTTATTTAAAGTTGCGCATTTTGATGTGACATCACATTTCTCAACCCCCCCCTTGTCACGCATCGTCACAAATGTCATGCCCCCCCCAGGTGCGTGATGTCATTTATGGACGGCCCCTTATGAGGTCACACTCATTACACACACAAAGTGCCTCTTGCCACAAAAAGAACAATCACCTCGCTGCTGATCTGGCTGCCGCCTGATAAAGCTAGTTATAATTACTGGCGAAACGTCGTACTCTGATGGTAAATGTTGTGGATTTGCTCTCCAACACACGGGTGTGCTGTACTAGTGTACTACACTACACTATACACTACTACACTATACACTACACTATACACTAGTGCTGTACTAGTGACGAATTGGCCACGTTCTGTTTACTTGACAAACCCCTTACTAATTGGCTGTGTCGGGTGGTGGCGGGTTTAAGGACACCTTTATATTTATGCGATACAACCCAAAATAAATTTAGATTTAAAGCTTTCGTGACTGCAGTAATTCATATTCTTAGCTCTTTCGGTAAGGTCATGTTGAAGGGAAACAATAAAATATATATAAAACAATAAAAATTCTCACGACGTTTCGACCATAACACAAACGGTCATCATCAGGTGTGAAAACCAACGGCAAGAAACATTTGAAAGAAGTGGCGGTTTGCATTTATTTATTTTTAAACGGTGTTTTACTTATTTATTTAAAAAAACGTTAGCACCACGGGCAGCGATTTGGCAGTTTATTTAGAAGGACGAGTCCATCTATGTTCTGAAAAGAGGAGGGGGGGGAGACGAAAAATTAATGTATGCTGTCTGAAAGCCACCGTAAGCGTGAACAATCAATTAAGACCTGAAATGTTTGATCAAATCCTTCCAATGATTGCTAAGCCAGAATCCATCTTTTCGGTTGAAATTGTCTCTGTGCTTGTATATGTGGATAGCCTCATGAACGAATCTTTCATGGTAGCCAGATGGCTTACAAAGAACATCTGTCTTGGAGAAGTCAATGTCATGTGAGCCTACTGAATTATAACAATGATCTGCCACGGCCGAGGTGTTGGTCCTACCGTGTTTAAGGTCTGCTTTGTGTTCACAAATGCGGTCCAAGACTTGGCGTTTGGTTTCTCCAATGTAACTACTACCACAGAGGCAACTTAGTTTGTAGACACCAGGGTACTGTATGTCCGGAATCACATCTTTTACAGACGGAACCAGATCACGGATTTTACGTAATGTGTTGAAACGGACCTGGATCTTGTGTTTATTCAAGATTTTGGAGATCTTTTTTGTGGTCCCCGCAATGTAGGGTAAAGTGATGGTTTTGAAAGGCTCCTCAAGAGGGTCCTTCTTCATGGTTTGAGTGATAGCTTTGCGGATTGTATAGTCGGAGTAACCATTAGCCTTAAGAGCTTGGTGTACGTGCTTGAGTTCACTGCCTATGTGTTCCTGGTCGGACATGCATTGGGCTCTATGATACAGAGTCTTGATGAGAGAATTCTTCTGTGATGGATGGTGGTGGCAATCCGGTTTCAGATAAGCATCCGTATGGGTAGCTTTCCTGTAGACACAGTGGCTCATTGAACCATCAGGTCTCTTTTTTATTAGGACATCCAAAAAAGGTAGCTTGCCATCTTTTTTGACTTCCATGGTAAATCTGATGGCTGGGTGTATGGAATTGATGTGGTCGAAGAATTGGTCTAGAGCAGGCCGGCCATGTGGCCAGATGACAAAATTGTCATCCACATACCTCTTCCATAAGGTCATGGAGCAATTTGAGACTGACGCCATCCAGACTGCCACTCTGCGCCCAACCTTATGGAAGAGGTACGTGGATGACAATTTTGTCATCTGGCCACATGGCCGGCCTGCTCTAGACCAATTCTTCGACCACATCAATTCCATACACCCAGCCATCAGATTTACCATGGAAGTTGAAAAAGATGGCAGCTACCTTTTTTGGCTGTCATAATAAAAAAGAGACCTGATGGTTCAATGAGCCACTCTGTCTGCAGGAAAGCAACCCATACGGATGCTTATTTGAAACCGGATTCCCACCACCATCCATCACAGAAGAATTCTCTCATCAAAACTCTGTACCATAGAGCCCAATGCATATCCGACCAGGAACACATAGGCAGTGAACTCAAGCACGTACACCAAGCTCTTAAGGCTAATGGTTACTCCGACTATACAATCCGCAAAGCTATCACTCAAACCATGAAGAAGGGGCCCTCTTGAGGAGCCTACATTGTGGGGATCACAAAAAAGATCTCCAAAATCTTGAATAAACACAAGATCCAGGTCCGTTTCAACACATTACATAAAATCCGTGATCTGGTTCCGTCTGTAAAAGATGTGATTCCGGACATACAGTACCCTGGTGTCTACAAACTAAGTTGCCTCTGTGGTAGTAGTTACATTGGAGAAACCAAACGCCATGTCTTGGACCGCATTTGTGAACACAAAGCAGACCTTAAACATGGTAGGACCAACACCTCGGCCGTGGCAGATCATTGTTATAATTCAGTGCCCCAAAGAAGGGACGCTGATAGGTATAGTCTTCTGTCCAACAGTGCAGGAGATGATGCATCGTGATTTTTTTAAACACTTTTAACTTTTCCGTACTGTCCGTTTTTTACATTCTTTAAAATCTTTTGACGCTTAATATCTTCGGATCTACGAAGCCTAACGAGCTGACATTTTATACGCCGACTCGTTGTCTCGCGTGACAATTCAAGATTTCATAATAACAAAAAAATAACCAGACTCAGTGTCCTGCCGATCGTGGGTTTATTCATGTTTTTGACTTAATTTGAATAATTCCAACCCACACATTTTACCACCCCTCCCCCGATTTTTTTTAAACCACAAATGGTCGCGCCCAACTTCGAGGGGGCAAACGTCTCGTCCAATCAGAGCGGCTGTTTTTGGCCAGCCTCTGACCAATGAGGGGCCTTGCTGACATCGCCGCTCGTCACGGCGCCGGAGCGGCCGCTGCGCTTCCGGCTTCTTCAGCGCGGCACCAACAATGACGACAACAACGACAACAACGACAACAACAATAACAACAACAACTGCTACTGCTAAAGTAATTACATCGCTACAATCTGAGCACATAGTATTAGCGGTTGCTTTGTCACGCCCCTTCCTACGGGTTGAGCGCAAACAATGTTATGCTGCAGTCTATTGAGCAGGTCAGAACGGTGATGATGATTTTTCAAATTGAATGCCGTGATGCTATCCCTATTTTGATTGCCAGAGTGTTCTCCATTATGATTGTTGATGCAAGTGCTTTAAGTTAAAGTGCTACATCTGTTGCACTTTGAATACTCTCGCGATATGCGCAGTTGTGCATATGCGCACATTGTTAAAATATTGCAGTCTCTACGTGCCTTGCCGTCTTTCGTACAGTACTTAATGATCGCAAACACGACGAATGTTTATACGTTATCGTGTTTTAAATGTCATTTCACTCGTTTGAAAGCGGGGTGGTTTGTTATTCTTCTTGTAATAGCCGCGCTACGTACTTTAATCTTTCATTACGTAGACTGTTGTATAGCAATGCACTTTAATTATTGTCAGGTCAAGGGTTGACATAGGCAAGCAATCATTGTCAACTCTACAGGGGCATAAAATAGGTACCACTTCCTGCGACGTCGTCATTGGTTGTTAAAGTTGGCCCCTGCCATGGGAATCTGGAATTTCTATTGGTGCAGATGAGCGCCGTACAATGCCCGTAGCAGCAGAGAGACATTTTGTCAATCCACTACTGGATGAGGGCCTCCCCATACATCAGCCCGGCTGGTCGGTGCGGGTTGGTAAAGGCGGACAGCATAGACGTACAGCACAACTGGATATAAACACACAACGTCGCCCCGCAGCCTTATGACAGCCTGTTTGTGCAAGCTCAGATCTGCTTAGCTTTCCAGGTCCAACCAGATCGCGCACATTCCAAGTCCGGGTGATTTGTTCATAGGCGTTAAGGTTTATAGTTATGCTGTTCTTAACAGTTAATATCTAACGGTGGAGAGATGTTAACTACCTCGCCTGGTATGGAGGAGGTTGTGGGTTCGATTCTGACCCTTATGCCTGTGGATTTGGAGTTTGCATGTTCTCCCCGTGGTTGCGTGGAATTTTTCTCCGGCTCCTACGGTTTTCCCTCCACAATTTTGAATCATGTGAATTCGAGTATTTTCGCTGCTTTAAATTTCCACATAAGCCACTTCATTGGGCTAATCAATTGTGGCCAGGTCGTTTTTGAAAAATACCAGTTAAATAATTTGCAATAGTTTTTATGGTAAAAAATGTACAAAACTAGTTTTTCAATGCACACTTTTATTTCAACTCAAAAGAAAAAGAAACAATATTACGACCCCATATTAATCAAATTTGATGCGCAGAATATGTGGGTGGCTTTTGATATGTTTAATTTTCTTTATGCAAGCCATCCAATTTTCTTCAGCACGTAAAATTGTATTAATTCTGGGGTCAAAATATAGTATTTCTACTTTTTAGTGCAAATAAAAGTGTGTACATTGATAAACTGGTTTTTCCATAATTTCTCGGGTAATTTTTTGGTCACGGGTAAAACTCATTCACATTTCGATGGGGCCCTGCCTACACCCTACAATGGTGGTGACACGTTATTGAGAGACTGTGTGGTTATGTTGCTGTGGTCTGGGACGTTGTTGCTGTCTTGCCAGATCTTGATAAATCGGATTTCTTACGTATTTAATACGTATTTATATTTAGTGACTTCCTTATTGCCATTTTCTCTATTTTGCGACTCCTATCGTTTTTTACATAGTTTGCCCATTGTAACTTGCTGACCCCGAGCTAATACTGAACGTCTGTGGAAAAAAACTTCATCGCTCATCGGATTCTGAATACATATTCTGATTCTGACAACAACAAACACACAAGCTGAAGGAGTCCACCAACAACTCTCCATGTGATTGCTGTGTAGATCGCGGGATGTTGCACCGCTGGCAATGGTGGTAGGTGCCGGGTTGTTGTTGGCGGTTTGTAGATTGCGGGATCGAGATAAGGCGACATCGAGCTGCCGGCCGTGCGAGAAGACCGCCGTCTGCAGATCGATTCCAACGTAATCGAACGTCTGTCCCTGCGCCTCCGTCGTTCATGCAGGGGGGGTCATAGGTTTGCAGCGCCCCCTGCATGAAAACGACGGAAAGTGCAGCGCTCATCACCGATAGATAAAGTTGTGCGCTTATATAAGAGTATGAACAGATACGATAAAATGCAGATTATCTCATCAGCAAACTTGGCAGACAGCCACACACCCCAAACACAATCCAACACGCACGCCTAATAACATCAGCCAATCACACATCTTGTTTTGCTAATCAGGATAAATGGGCCAACAGATTATACAACACTACAGACATAAAGGCCTAATTGCCAATCAAAAGCGTGAAATGGATGTTTATACTGGTAGGAACGAAGTTGTAAACTGAGTGTACCAGCCTGCAATAGATTAATGTGTCCGTCCGTCCGGCCGTCCCCTTTCAATACTTTAACGAAGTGAAATCTCGTGCTGTTGGGTGTAAAATCAGCAATAGACAGCGCAGAGACTTGATATGTCTTATTGCACCCAACATTTGGAAGTCACATTATCTCATTTGCGAACTTCGCTTTTGGGGATGTTTTGCACAATTTTACGTAACAATGTCATAAAATTGCGCAAAATTCCAATGTTCCTACCAGCCCACCCTGCAGGGACCTGTTTGTGTTGGTGAGTTTACTGGGTGGGGGGGGGGCGCCAGATTCATAACAGGTGGTGACTAATTTAAGAGGCCCAGCAAGTTCCTGAGCAGGTCCAGGTGTGGCACCACCTCTTGTGTTGAGCAGCATATAAAGCAGGCTGTGAACATAGGGAGAGAGGAAGAGGAGGAAGGCAGCGAAGGAAAAGCTCCCCCCCCCCTTCCCCAGCAACGCACGCCAGCTTATGCAGCACAAAGGAGGCAGGGATACCACAACAACAGGGGCCGTGAGTAGAAGCCCACTTTCTCGAAGTAGTACGTGGTAAGGTTAATATTAGGGCAACGTAATAAGGCCGATCCATTTTGTTTTGCCAGCGGCCGAGTCTGGGTGAGTGCGGCAGGTCAGAATTGGAGGAGCGTGGTGGGAAACACTGGGCCAGGGAGCTGAGAAGTGAGAAGGGGGTGCAACCAGGTGTGCCTCTGCTCAACCCCGACTGCTTAAAACTGCTGCTAGTGTTGCGCCTGTGTAGTTTGTACCCCTGCTGCCATCGCGGCTGCTGTCTCCCTAGAAGGGTACTAGAGTGTTCTACACTCCAGGTGAGTGTGGAGAAGTGGTCATTGTAGCAAACGGTGAACGAAGGAGGTCTGCTGTAGTAACTAGTGGGAGTGTGGCCGTGAGACTGCCACTGTTTGGCACCTGTTTGCAACCCTGACCAGAACTTGAAGGACTTAAACCTCTGGGTGCTCATTTTCCTGTACCTGGACACATGGTACAGCAAAAGTATTGCCTGCTGGTGTGTGAGTGTGCATGATGAGGTTGCATAGGGATTAGATGTTTCTTTAGCACGTGGGCTTTCGCGACCAATATCATCCATAAAAGAGGTTTTTTGGGTTAGATCGTGAAAATATAAATGTGTCATTCAAACCCACCACCACCCGACACAGCCAACTAGTAAGGGTTGTCACGTAAACAGAACGTGGCCAATTCGTCACTAGTACAGCACTAGTGTATAGTGTCGTATACTAGTACAGCACACCGGTGCGTTGGAGAACCAAGCCACAACATTGACAATCTGAGTACGAGGTTTCGCCAGTAATTACAACTCGCTTCATCAGGCGACAGCCAGATTTAGCTAGTTGGCTGTGTCGGGTGGTGGCGGGTTTTAACGACACATTTACGCGAACTAACCCAAAAAAACATCTGTATTAGCTGTGAATAAATCATACCTATCTGTCAAATGCACGAATGCTATTCTAAGTGTGACCCTTTTGATGGGTTTCTTCATGGTTTTAGGTGTGTGTAGGCAAGGCCTGGTGCCTCCATGTTTCTTTTGTAAGATGTGGCAGTGAACACTACTCCAGCTCCCTTAACCTGTCTGAACCTAAAATTGTTCAGACTCTTTGTACTGCCTTGGCCCTGGTCTGTGCTATCACCTGCAATGTACATTCTAACACCTCATGGTCTATCACCTTGGTGGGCTCCTTTTGTGTAGTGACGCCAGAATTGGTAACCCACAATTACAATCGAATTATTAAACTCCATTAACATGCTCAAACGCACTCCCAACCAAGTCCCAATGGAGAGGTGCTCTCCACAGCAACCAGAGCGATAACACATAATTTGCTAAAACACTACCTGTCAAAGTCAGCACAAGACGACAATCACAAATCGTCGAACCAACCTTACCCAGTGACGCTGACAAGGCAAAACAGGACCTTATTATAATTAAAGACACACAGGTTTAGTTGTAGCCCCCTGATAAATGCGAGCACACCGACCAATTCAAAATGGATAACATATGCTACTGGCACCACAATTCATAACAATACCTACAAGATATATAAACAAATCTGAATGAGTACTAATAACAAAACAGTCGGTGTCAAATGAAGTACTTTTTTTTTTTTTACACCTCGCATCCCTGTCTCCTAAGGCATGCCTCCAAATGTTATAGTTAGCCCTGATTGCCGTTTTGGACACTACCGATTTTAGTTTCCCTATCCATTGAAGTTGAGGAGGCCCTTGTAACTCTTGATGCAGAGTTCTCAGCGGCGCGAGTCCCCGCACTCCGACAGTCGGCAACGCTCACCCAGTTCTTGCAGTGGTGTCTCCACACTCCAGCAGTTGATAGGGTCCTCCTCGTGGCTCTGGGTGTGGTGTGTCACCCGCACCCTTCTCCGGCAGTAGAGACTGGACCCACACCTCGCAGCACACTCAGTCCCAGGTTCAGCACTAGCAGCTTCTGGGGCTGCATTGATTGAGGCTATTGCAGCCCTGGTTGTGGTTCCTCCACAGTCCAGAAGTGGACCAGGCCCTATTGCTGGTGGCTGGTGGCTGGTGCTGGTTGTATCCACCATCAGCATCACA